TATATATATATATATATATATATATATATATATATATATATATATATATATGATATATATATATATATATATGATATTTGTGATATATATAAAATATATGAAAATACATATGGGTACTCAAATGAAAGGTCTCGATGAGTCTAACATTAAGATGAGCTTATATCTCAAAAAATGTCAATAAAAGTCTGTTTGTACGGAAAAATTTATAAATTACATATTTCGAAGTTAGACTAAAAAACTGAAAGTCTGCGTTCTACTTTAAAATTTTTATCTGTGTTCACGGAAACTAATACTTGAAAATAATCTATGACATACAAATATTGTATAAAAGTAAAAGCGCCATCAGTCATAAGGGTCATGAGTCACGAATAGTATAAAAGAAAGTAATCGTTCCGCTATTTTTCGGGCTATTGTACTCGTAGGAACACACAAACTATTCATGTATTTCTAAATTAGTATATTGTGTCGATAATCTAATATAATATAATGTAATACTCTAATACTAATTTCTAATATTCCTATCGTCTAATGAGGACATTGACGTCCTCAATGATCGCAGCATAGAAATTAAAGAAAATTCTTAATTTCTTTATTTGTTAATTTCTTAAAGTATTAATTTTGTATAAATTTTTAGTAAATTCAATATTTTGACTTGAAATTAAAAAAAAAAATGAACGACTTTTGTATTTTTTCTTGAGATATTCTTTGTTTATTTTTTCCCCAATTAAAAACAGTGGCGTTTTTTTTTTTTTTTTAGACCCTAACGGAAGTTAAACACAAAGTGGGGATTAGTTTTACGCCCTTGAATTTTTAAGAGGAAAAATTTCGAGCATAATAATAATAATAATAATAATAATAATAATAATAAAAGCTTCAAACTTATTCTCAAAAATTATTATTATTATTATTATTATTATTATTATTATTATTATTATTATTGTTATTTAAGCGTTTTAAATTTTAATATAAATAATATAAATAATAATAATAATAATAATAATAATAATAATAATAATAATAATAAAGCTTCAAACTTATTCTCAAATATTATTATTATCATCATTATTATTATTTAACAATTTGGAACTTTCATAACTATCATAATAATAGTAATAATAATAATGGCAATAATAATAATAATAATAATTATTATTATTATTGTTATTATTATTATTATTTAAGCGTTTTAAATTTTAATACAAATATTAATAAAAATAATAATAATAATAATAATAATAATAATAATAAACATTTGTGTATCAAAGTAACTTTAGGTACTTTTTTACCGTCTATTAAAAAATAAGCGTTCACTATAAATTCTATAGTCTACAAAAACTGGTTATAAGTTTATTATTTGAAAGGTCGCTTTTCTCCCTCTAATGCCTAATATAACCTAAACTTTACTATACCTATACCTCCGTAGTCTGTAGACTATATCAATACACTGTTTTTCCGAAAGCAGGAGTGAAACAGAAATAAGGAAAGAATAAAGAATAAAATAGAACGCACATTGCTTCCTAACAGATTGAACGTTACACCATTTTTTTTTCTAATTATTACGTTTCATCTCTAATATTTTTTCTGTGAGACTTCAAAAATGTCGGTGCAATAAAACGTAAGCTTTTGGAAAATTATCTATTATTTTGGGCCGTACTTCCCAATTATTAACTTATAACAGTTTGCATGTTTGAAATATCAATATAAAGTTGGAATTTTTTCACGATTTACAATAGACAATACATTTATTGCCAATTTTTCAATTGTTATTGTCTTCTTCTTTTATAAAATTCATCAAACAAATTTTTGGTACTAAATTTTTTGTTTAAAAAAATAAATTATGTGTTTCAAAATTTGATTCAAAAAATTTGTCAATTTAGATAAAATCAAAAATTTTTTCTAAATTTAACCTTGAAGTCAATTTTTACTCTTGAATCAAATAAGCCTTAAAAAAATCCCAAAAATAAAATTTTATTTCTTAATTTTTTACAAAATATAACTAGAAAAAAATTTTTGTTTTATTTTTTACAATCGAAACTTTTTTTAATTTTTTTAATAAGAAAAATTTTTTTTTTTTAATTTTATACAAACAAAATTTTTATTTAATTTTTTTGTAATTTAATAAGAAAATTTTGTTTTTTTTTATTTTTTACAAACAAAATTTTTTTTTTATTTTTTTCTAATAATTTCTTTAATTTTAATTCATAATTTTTATTTTTTTTTATATAAACTCTTGTACCATTATTTCAAAAATTAAGCTAGAAATAAAAAAATTTTGTTTATATTTTTCTTGTTATTTAAAAATTAATCCAAATTTTAATTAAGAGCCTCAAAAATAATAAAAAAAAAATCATCTTAGATTTCAAAAGTTTCTTTAAAAATATTTCGAAGGTCATATTAATTATTTCAAATAAAATTTTTAATCAGAAACTAATTTCAACTCAAAATTAATGACAGTAGTAATTAATAAAATCAGTTATAGTTTAATAATTACCTAATAATGAATGATAACCGATAAAAAAACTACAGTAGTTATAAAAAATGCCGGTCGCGGCGTTTATTAATCATTATTATCTATTAAGTCAACAGTTAACAGCTTACTAGACAAAAATGGTAATAATATTTTATGACAGTTAACATTTTTTGGTTAAGTATTTAAAGTCGAGTGATGCCACGCAGTAAAAACCAGTTAAAATTAAGAAATTAAAAAAAAAAATTATTTCTGTGTAAATTAACACTTAAAAAAAAAATTTCATATTTGATAAATTAATTTTTGAATTTTTTATTCTAGGAAAAAGATAAACCAAATAGTACAACGATGAATGGCTCGCCAGGTAATTTAAATATGGATCAAATGGGCGTTAAAATAGAACCTACGGAAGCGGAATGTTTGACAATGCCTGGAAGCACCATTGGATTGTCATCGAGTTGGCCGAACGATGTGAAAGCACCTAGTCCTGAGCAAGAAGAATTAATAAGCAGCCTTGTTTTCTTCCAAGGAGAATTTGAGCATCCTAATGAGGAAGAGATTAAAAAGATCACGGTTAGTTTTTATTATTATAATATTAATTAACTATTTATGGCATTAAGAGAAAATTATTTTGAAAATTGATGAGTAATTTTTAAATATAAGCTCACCTTGATATTATACTCATCGAGACCTTTCATTTGAGTACCCTGATGATTTTTTCATATATTTGATATATTTGATATATATGATATATATAAAATATATAAAAAATGCATGTGGGTACTCAAATGAAAGGTCTCAATGAATATAATATCAAGATGAGCTTATATTTTGAAAAACATCATTAGTTGACAAGATATAAAGTCATTTATTAATTATCGACATTTTTAAAAATATAAACTCATTTCTATGTTATACTCATCGAGACCTTTCATTCGAGTACCCACATGACATTTTTCATATATTTTATATATATGGTAATTGTGAAATATATATAATATATTAAATATACTAAAAAGTCAAGTGGGTACTCAAATGAAAGGTCTTAATGAGTATAATATAGAGATGAGCTTATATTTTAAAAAACATTATTAGTTGACAAGATACAAGGTCATATGTTCATTATTGACCTTTTTTTAAGATATAAGCTCATCTTGACATTATAATCATCGAGACCTTTCATTTGAGTACCCACATGGTATTTTTCATATATTTTATATATATGGTATTTGTGAAATATATATAATATATAAAATATACTAAAAAAGCAAGTGGGTATTTAAATAAAAGGTCTCAATGATTATAATATCGAGATGAGCTTATATTTTGAAAAATATCATTAGTTGACAAAATACAATGTCATTTGTTAATTATTAACATTTTCGTAAATATAAGTCCATTCTGATGTTATATTCATCAAGACCTTTCATTTGAGTACCCACATGATTTTTTCATATATTTTATATATTTCATATATATAGTATTTATGATATATATAAAATATATAAAAAATGCATGTGGGTACTCAAATGAAAGGTCTCAATGAGTATAATATCAAAATGACCTTATATTTTGAAAAATATCATTAGTTGACAAAATACAATGTCATTTTTTAATTATTGACATTTTTTAAAATATAAGCTCATCTTGACATTGTCTTCATCAAGACCTTTTATTTGAGTACCCACATGGCATTTTTCATATATTTCATATATTTGGTATATATGATATTTGTGAAATATATAAAATATATGAAAAATACATGTGGGTACTCAAATGAAAGGTCTCGTAAAGTATAACATCAAGATGAGCTTATATCTTGAAAAATATCATTAGTAGACTAGATACAATGTCATTTGTTAATTCAACCAAAAAAAAAAAATTGTTTAAAATTTCAAACAAATTAATTTATTGTCGCAAAATTGCTTTTTTTTTTTTCTCAATCTGATCAAAAGTGTTTATGCTAATTAATATTCTTCCGTACTTGCAGTATCATCCAACAGAAAGCGAAGATCCCAGTGACTTGAGGTTCAGGCATATAACAGAAATCACAATATTAACAGTACAACTGATTGTTGAGTTCGCCAAGAGGTTAACCGGGTTTGATAAACTTCTTCGGGAAGATCAGATTGCGCTATTAAAAGCATGTTCCAGTGAAGTTATGATGTTGAGAATGGCGAGGAAGTATGACGTTGAAACAGACAGTATCGTGTTCGCGAACAATCAACCCTACACACGTGAGAGCTACAGTCTTGCTGGTATGGGTGAAACTGTCGAAGATTTGCTACGTTTCTGTCGGCATATGTATAATATGAAAGTTAATAATGCCGAGTATGCTTTACTCACGGCCATCGTTATTTTTTCTGGTAATTATTACGCCTTAATATTTATTATTAAGACTAAATTATAGTCAATTAGAGAAACATTAAAAAAAAAAATTAAATTGAATCTCTACTTAAATAATTTTTAAGAGCTTTATTTTCTTAATTTTTGAAAAATTTTTAATTAAAAAAATTTTTTTTAGTTAAAAAAAATTTTACTCTAAAAAAAAAAAGAAACTTAAAAATTATTTTTGGTTCAAAAATTTTTTTTTTTATAATTTTAAATTTTATACATGTGATTCTCTGTAAGGACGTCTTAAATCTGTACAAAATTGTCCGACCAAATTATTTTTGATTTTATTAGAAAAAAAATTAACAAAGGCTACAAAACTATCAGCTTAATGATAATAAAAATAGCTTACATAAAAATAAAAAAAAAAATTATTAATAAAAAATTTATTAATTAAAAACAGATCGGCCAAACTTACTAGAAGCCTGGAAGGTAGAACAAATCCAAGAAGTGTACCTAAACGCATTGAAAGCCTACGTGGACAACCGACGCAGGCCAAACTCAACGATGATATTCGCGAAGCTGCTGTCAGTTCTTACCGAGTTGAGGACACTCGGTAACCAGAACAGCGAAATGTGCTTCAGTTTGAAGCTGAAGAACAAAAAGCTACCTCCCTTCCTTGCTGAGATCTGGGACGTGATGCCCTAGTTTATTTCAACTCATCGTCAGCCAATGCTGCTACACCTAGAGTCGTCGGCTCAGCAAATCATACACAAATTTGCTTTGCAATTTATTAATATCACTACTATTAATTTTACTATTATTATTATTATTAAAACTACTACTATAATTACAATAATTATTATTAATATTCAATAGACGGCGGCGTGAAATAATAATAATAATAATAATAATAATAATAATAATAATAATAATAATAATTATTATTATTATTATTATTATTATTATTATTATTATTATTATTATTATTATTTTGTAATAAAAATTGGGAATTATTAATTATTAATAACAAAAAATAATGAAAAAAAAATTTTTTAAATATTATTAATATTAAAATTGAAGCAGCTAAATAATAATAATTATAATAATAATAATAATACCAATAAACATGATTATTGTTTTATATATAATTAACAATAATTTAAATATTGAGACAGTGACTCAGGCACCCAGGCTGTGATACATAGAGACAGTTACAGAGACTATATAAAAAAATATAATAATAAAACTACACTTATATAATATAAATAAAAATATAAATATATATAAATATATATCTATATATCTATATATATTACTATATCTCCTACCCGGCTATCCGTTACTATATCGATAAATAATTGTAAATGATTATTGATTATAATTATGATTAGCGTACTGATTAATAAGAAAAAAAAAAAAAAAAGATAATAGGAAAGAAAGAAAAAAAAAACTTCGGTTGGAAGTTTTTAAAAGTTACGGAAAAGTTATAATAAATGTTTTTTAATTGACGAAAAAAAAGGTGGATTTAATCGCGACAGTGGTCACTGTTGAGCAGTGGTTGTTAAGTTCACGATTTTTATTAATAAATAATATACATATACATAATATGATGATAGAGTCTATATATATAAATATATAAATATATATTACACATATATTGCATAATAATATATATATTATTGCCAGCATGTGTACGTTTTAAACGCAATCACGGTTCATGGATTATATTTATAATTCATAGGATATTAAGGGGAAATATTATAATTCACCGATTCATTTTCTTCAGTAAGAAAATGGTTAAGTGTCTATCATGTTAATATGTATAAGATTTAATTTTTGGATGAATGTTTTAATGGATGATGATATATTGTTGGTGATGAGAATTCAAATTTTTAGATTTTTTAAAAAATTTTTTTTCTTTTTTAAAGAAATTTTAACTGAATTTTTTTTTTAAATTCTGGTAGGTAAAAAAATAGATATGGGTACTCAAATGAAAGGTCTTGATAAGTATAATATCAAGATGAGCTTATATCTTGAAAAAACATCATTAGATGTTAAAATATAATGTCATTTGTTAATTATTAACAATTTTTAAAATATAAGCACATCTCGATGTTCTACTAATCGATACCTTTCCTTCGAGTACCCACATGACATTTTGATATATATTTATATATATAGAATATATAATATATATGAAAAATTCAAGTGGGTACTCAAATGAAAGGTCTCAATGAGTATAGTATCAAGATGAGCTTATAACTTAATAAATATAATTAGTTGAAAAGATACAATGTCATTAGCTAATTATTGACATTTTTTTAAATATAAGCTCATTTTGATGTTACACTCATCGAGACCTTTCATTCGAGTACCCACATGACATTTTTCATATATTTTATATATTTGATATATATGATATATTCAAAATATATAAAATATATGAAAAATGCATGTGGGTACTCAAATGAAAGGTCTTAATGAGTAGAATACCAAGATGAGCTTATATCTCAAAAAACATCATTAGTTCATAAAATACAATGCAATTTGTTAATTATTAACATTGTTCGTGATATAAGCTCACTCTGATGTTATACTCGTCAAAACCTTTCATTTGAGTACCCATATGGCATTTTTCATATATTTCATATATATGGTATTTATGAAATATATATAATATATAAAATATATGAAAAATTGATGTGGGTACTCAAATGAAAGGTTTCAATGAGTAGAATATAAAGATGAGCTTATATCTCAAAAAAAATCATCCGTTGACAAGATACAATGCCATTTGTTAATTATTGATATTTTTTAAGATGAATTTTAAAAATAAATTCTGTTGTATAAAAAAATCAATTTTAAAAATTATTTTTTTTAACACTTAAATATGACAAAGTATTTTATTTTTAAAAAAAAATTAATGTGATTTTTTTTTTAACAAAAATATTTTTTTTTTTTTCAATTAAATTCTTGGAAAAAAAAAATCTAAAATTTTGAATTTCACAAAAAAATGTAGATGTTGTAGATAAAAGAAGGATAATGATACGAGTAATGACTAAAAAAGCGTAATAGAGTGTAAAAAAAGAGTTTGTAATAGATAAGTATAATAAGCGAGGCTAGATGGTAATAAAAAAATAAATAAAACAAACGTAGATTGTAGAAAAAAAAACTAAACTAAAGTCAAGTTAGACTAGGTGACCGTGTCAAGTGCAAAGCCTTGTGCCTTCAGCAGCGGACATCGGCTCACCAAAAAACGAATACATGAAATTTAACCGTCCGTTTTAATTTTTTAATGATAAAAAATAAACTAATTTAATAAAATTAAATCAATAAATTGTAAATTTCAAAGATTCATAATAATGTTTATTATTAGAAAGAACGAGAGAGAGAAAAGAGATTATTTAAATTCATAATTCGCGTAGAAAAAAAATAATAATAATTTTTATTATTATTATTATTATTATTATTATAATAAAATAAATAACACCTGTATGATTAAATGTCAATTTTAATTGACAGCTCGATTGGTTAAAAATCTAAAAAAAGGACGTGGAGTGATGGATAAGATTGTCAGCGAGCGTAAGCGGTTAAGATTTGACGGATTGCAATTTAAAATAAAATTTTATAATTTAATATTCGTAATTTAAAATAAAAGTTTGAAAGTATTTGATGCGACAGTTTTATTCTTCATTTCAAAAATCGTAACATGATACGCTAAATAAATAATTGTAATTATTATTAACAAAATAAATAATAATATTACTGAAGAATATTAAAAAAAACAAAAAAAAAAAATTCTTAACAGCGTTTGTTAAATATATCGATTAACTTTTAATCAGGAGAAATTTATAAAAATGAAACCTCATTATCGTATTTAATATTAAAAATACAATTTAGAAATTATTAATAATTGTAATACTTGTATGCTAACAATACAAATGCAAATTGTAATTCGTAGATAATCATACGCAATATTAAGTCATCTATTAAAAATTGTGTTTACTGTTCGTGGTAATTTTGAACGTGTGAAATAAGTGCGTTACTCATTTTATTATTAAATATTTAAAAAAAGAAAGCATTAATTAATTAAATGTGGCATTAAATTTTAGAAAAATTAATGTATGTAGTTCCAGTAGAGTCTCTAATGTTCGATGTTAATAAAAAGACACGTTACTGGAAATAAAATTTAAATTTCGCGTCTTTTATATAAAAGGCATTTTAATTTTGGAGTATAATATTTAAAATTGTAAAAAAAAATTTTTGTTTATGAAGAAAAATGGTTATTTTGAGCTTTTTTGGTTAGGAACAATAATGTGAAGTTCGGAACGCGGTTCATTGATGGCGCCACTCTTAAAATCCCTATAAAGGAACCATTTTTTCTTTAACTTTTAACAGAATTGAAGAAATAGTTAGAAAAGTAAATTTTTTTTCTTGATACATTTACAATTTAATTTTTTTTTGGTTAGGAACAATAATTTAAAATTTGGAACACCGCTCATAGATGGCGCCACTCTTAAAATTTATGCAAAGAAACAACTAGACTACAATTTCTTTTTAAATTTAAAAAGAATTAAAGAAATAATTGAAAAAATTAAATTTTTATCCTGAAAAAATTATAATTAAAGTTTTTTGGTTAGGAACAACTATGTAAAGTTTGGAACACAGTTCATAATTGGCGCCACATTTAAAATTCCTATAAAGGAACCATTAGATTGAAATTTCTTCTTAAACTTTATAAAAAATTGAAGAAATTGTTAAAAAATTAAATTTCTGTCTTAAAAAATTTTTAATTAAAGTTTTTTTCTGGTTGGGAACCACAATGCAAAATTTAGAGTGTGACTTAAAGATGGCGCCACTCTTAAAATTTCAATAAAGGAATAATTACACTACAATTACTTCTTAAATTTAAAAGAAAAATTGAAGAAATAATAGAAAACGGTAAATTTTCTTTTTTGAACCATTTTTAATTCAAATCTTTTGGTTAGGAACAATAATGTAGAATTTGGAACGCGGCTCATAGATGGCACCACTGTTTAAATTCTTCTAAAAGAACAATTAAACAACAATTTCTTCTTAAAGTTTAAAAAAAATTGAAAAGAAAACTTAAAGAAAGACACTTTTTTCTTGAAAAAAATTTTTATTCAAGTTTTTTTGGTTAGGAACAACAATGTAAAGTTTGGAACATGACACATAGATGGTGCCACTTTCAAAATTCCTATAAAAGAACAATTAAACAATGAAAGTAAAATTTCTTCTTAAAATTGAAGAAATATTTAAAGAAGTAATTGTTTTTCTTAAAAAATTTCTAATTAAAGTTTTTTTGGTTAGGAACAACAATGTATAATTTGGAACGTAGTTCACAGATGGCGCCACATTTAAAATTCCTATAAAGGAACAATTTCTTCTTAAACTTGAAAAAAAATTGAAGAAATACTTAAAGTAAAGTTTTTTCTTGAAAAAAATTTTTTATTCAAGTTGTTTTGGTTAGGAACAACTATCTCAAGTTTGGAACATAGCTCATAGATGGCGCCACTTTTAAAATTCCTATTAGGGAACAATCAGACTAAAATTTCTTCTTTAATTAAAAAAAAAGTTAAAGAAATAGTTGAAAATAATTTTTTTAAATTTTTTATTAACAATTTTAAATATTTATACTGTTAAAAAAAAATAAAAGCATTAATTAAAGCCATCATAACCTAAAA